ATAAGAGCAAGATATTATATTTGCCGTTAGAGTGAGGAAGTTTATTAGATTGAACCCAAGGGAAACAATACCCCGACGACCACCCAACGGAAAGACTACGCGGAAAAGATAAAAGGCGTTTAGGATTTTGACGATGGAAAGGTGTTAAGTTGGAAAATGATTATGATGGATTTTTTACCGACATTATGACACGGGGATATTTACTTGATGGCGGAGAGGAAAAGAAAAACCCCAGACTTATTTATGAAAGGCAAGAAGGATATGTGAAACAAGGCGGAAATGAATGGGACACCTACGAAGCGGAGGAGGATTACATTGAGAAAGAAATAATAACCAAAGAAAGAGGCGACACCGCCACAATTGACGGAATAGATGTAGCGACTGCGGGGAGACTTCAAATATGCTCTATTTTTGGTATTAGTTCTATTAATGGCGGACATAGCGGAATAATGAATAAAACCGAGAAACGGGATTACTTTAAAGAATTATGTGAAAGTGATTTAACCGCATTATCAACCAACCCATCCGACTACCGAGGGAATACATGGTGATACTTCCCACCAGGTCTAACCTGAACTAAAACTTATTCATTACCACCTAATACCTACGAAATTACCTGACACACCAACGCGGGACTTGATAACCGCCACGACATACCTGCCGACGGATTTACGATTATCATTGATGGCAGTAAAGGAACCTTAATAACCCATGGAGAAACTGAAACCAAGAAAATTATTAGAGAAAGTATATTTAAAGAAAAGAAAACCACGACCCAAGAAATAGATGAGGAAAAATTGGAGGATGAGTATGATATTGAGGATGAAATGTGCGGAGAGGAGGAATTGGGCGAAGGCGAAGTAGAACAGGAGGAGGCCGAACAAGGCGAAGGCGTAACCAATGAAAAAGACCGCGAAAGAGAACAGGAACGCGAGAAAGAGGAGGAAGGAGAAAAAGAAGGCGAGAAGGAACAAGAAGGCGAAAAAGAGGACGAGACCGAGAAGGAGGACGAAAAAGAAAAGGAAAAAGAGAAAGAGAAGGAAAAGGAACGGGAGAAGGAGAAAGAAAAAGAGAAAGAACGGGAAAAAGAGGAGGAGAGCGAAAGTGAAGGCGAGGACGAAGGAGAAGGTGAGGAGGAAAATGAGGCATAAGGATTTTATGCGGATTTTTCAACAAAAATTAAGTTGTCTAATAAAACATTATGAATACCAAAACTAACGAGGAAATACAAAGGGAATACTATGAATATTATGCCAATTCTATTTTACACAAGATAGATTTAATTTATAGTGCGGATGTTAATAATATTGAGGCCGTTGAGTTGTGAGAAAATGTAAAAGATTGCGATTGACTTAAACCCGAAATAAAGGAAAAGTGAGAAAAGGCATTTAGAAAAAAGTTTGCCAAGTAGAAAAATTAACCATATGACAACCCAAAAAATAATTTACTTTGAATATGGAGGGAAAATGAATTGTCATTATAATCCCCAGCAAGACGGAATAAATGTTGAAACATTTTTAAACAATTTAAGGATTTTCCGTGATGGGGATGATATACGTGTTGATTGGCATAATAGATATATTACCATGAATTATACAGGAGGGGACCAGTTAATAAAAGTATACGAGGAAGAGAGAGAATGAGACAACGCGGGTAATTCTACCCAAAAGAGTTATAAATTGGTTAAAAGTTTAGATGTCCCAGTATACCAAGGAACACAACCCATAATATCTCAACCAGTTTACCAAGGTCCAGCATCTCAACCAAAGCCCACAAAAGAAATACCAACCCCACCCAACAGCAGGCCAACCACCCCCAGACCAAGTAAATCCATGAGCCATATTGACGAATTAAAACGAAAGCAAGCCCAGGGAAAAACTAAACCAAGCGACTTTAAAAAGAAAAAGGAATAATAAACATAAAGAAAGAAAAAAAGATTAAAATATAATATATGAACTGATAAGAACTGTTAAAATTATATATATGAAAGAAATATTACTAATTAAAACCAGCGAGAGCGAGAAAATAAGAAACTTTTTAAATAAAGAAAATATAGACTATCAAATAGTTTACGACGATATTTTATATGATAAAAACCTAACCGAGGAGGAAATTTACCGCCGAGATATGCGATTAGCCAACCAAGACCCAGAGCGGCAAAAAGAAATTAAGTTTTGGGATAAAATACAGGCCATAGACGACGCTAAATTAAATAAAGATAATGAATGAGATTGAGATTAAGCCCCAGTTTGGCGAAGTTTATAAATGTGTTTTCTATGATGAAACCATAGGAACCGAAATCAGGGGACGCCGCCCAGTAGTAGTTATCTCTGCTAAATGATATAACGAGGAAAGCGACCGCATTACCATTTTACCTTTAACGAGACTTCTTAATAAATTAGGTCAACCCAAAAAAGTTTATGCGTGAGAAGTAAGAGTAAAGGTTGACAGTAAAGAAGGAAAAGTTATGACCGACCAAATACACAACATAGATAAGCAAAGATTAAAAGAGAAAATGGGCGAATTATCACCTGAAATAATGGCCGAAATTATGCGACAGTTAAGAATGTTAATTAATTTTTTTCCCAACCAAATAAAAGCCAAATTATAGTATGAAAAAAAAGAGTGAAAAATATTTAGTAAAAAATTGTTTCCAGTGTCAGCAGGAAATAATTATTAAGTATAATAAAGGGACTAATGAATATATAAAAAAAAATGATTGGTATTACTGAACGGAAAACAAAGAAAACCAAGGGAAATATGTTTGTAATTCTTGTCTTTTAAATTATTATTACGAAAAACCCCAGGAATATTTAAAAGCCGTAGAAAACAAGAAAAAAAGGCGGGTGTTTACTTCTTATGTTTATGACAAAACTATCTCTTAAAAATATATTATCAGTTCATATAAACTCATAATAATAAAACTATGAATAAATTATTAGAATATCAAAACTGACTAGAAAAAAGAAACTTAACTCTTAACACCATTAGGAGTTATTTATGAGCGATAAAAGAATACGGAGCAAGAGAATTAACCACCGACCATATTATTAACTTCTTAAAATCTAATTTAAATAAATATCAGCCGTCCAGTTTACAAGTTTGCCGTCAAGCATTATCCTCTTATGTTAAGTTTCAGAAAATAGAAATAGAATGAGAAATGATAAATAGAATAATCCCCGTCGTTCAAAGAAGGTTTTTTACTACTATTAATGAAAAAGAATTAGAGCAGTTAAAACAAGCCCGCTACGAAAAAGAAAACCAAGTTTATCAACGCAATAATTTAATATTAGACATTTTATTTTACATGGGAATTAGAGTAAGTGAGTTAGTGAGTATTAGACATTGTGATTACCAGAATAAAAGTTT